ACTTGCTCAATGGCTGTGCGCTCTGTGGGGCTGGGGACCATGATGACTCACTTATCGCTCCATGCCCTTGCCTTCCACAGGATCTTGACGGTTTCTTGAGAATGAATACCTGTTGGATTTTGAATGACTGGAGGCCGTGGGCACTGGGATACTTTCTCCCTCTCTGGGAACCTGGCTGAGTCTGTGCTATCTCTATGGGTAGTTCCAAAGTACCCAAAGGCACAGACTCTTTCTCCCCAGAGCTGTCTGGATCCTTATGAGTCCTCTAGTCTTTCTCGCTGCTGCTTTCCTCCAGAGTTCCCAGAATAGCATAGTGGCTTGAGAGTTTCACAGGAAAACTGAAAAATTTCCCTGAGACTCCTCCATGCATGTTTCCTGGAATCTGATTTCCATCTCCCTTGGCTTATAAAACCTACGATTCATTTACCCAGCCAGCAGTGTCTTCTCCACTGGGATTTCTTACAGGAAACCTGAGAGCAGCAGGAACATCGTTTTTTCACTCCACCCACTCTTGGCCCTGGGCTTTCTTTTCTTCTTTCTTTTTTTTCCATCCAGCTTTTCTTATCTAAAACCCTAGATTTGCTTTATCATGAGAGGCAGTAGAGTGGTTAGTGCCACCCCCCCATCTAGGAAGCCCTCATTAAACCAGGGCCCTGTACTCCCCGGGACTCAGCCTGGAGCCTTTGAAGAGCTTCCAAGACCCCAGATCTCCAAATCCTGCAAGGATACAAAATTACTTTCGTTAATTTGCTGAATTTTCACACAGTGAAAACTTCTGGCTCTTTCTGGAAATCTAGAAAACTATAGGAATATTTCTAATGCAATTTCAAGATGCCAGGCTTCTTGTCCTTTCTAGATACCCAGGATACACACACACACACACACACACACACACACACTCACTCACTCACTCACACACCCTAACACTTTAAAAATGTTCAAATGTTCCAAGTGTTGGGGCACACATCTGTAATCCTAGGACTCAGGGAGGCTGAGGCAGGAGTATCACAAGTTTGAGCTCAACCTGGGCAATTTAACAACATAGCTGAATTGAGGCTGTGAAAGCTCTAGGTTCAATCTCCAGAATCCCTCTTTTCCCCAAAAAAGTTCAAATGTAAACTGTAGACTCAGCAGTCTGCACACAGCCAGACTTCATATTGGCCTCCTCAGAAGGAGTTTGTCACCTGTCAAATGGAAGGGAATTAGGCAGATGTGGTCATACTCATCCCTGTGGCCTGAGTGTGTGTGTATTTGTGTGAACTTTGAGAGACTCTATGGCAGCTGGCTGGGAGCAGATGGGATTTTAGGGACTATTGATATAATGGGGCTAATATCTGAGTGAGGACTTGCAACATCTCAGTAGGAGTTTGAAAGGCTGGATGTGCATTTGTGTTGAGTTCCTGAGGGCTGTTGAAGGCACTAGTTGGATAAAAATTGCTTTGCAAATGCATCTGTGAAATAAAGCAGAATGATGGCGTGTGGACAGGGAGTTAACCAGGCTTATATGAAGTTTGAAAAACAACTCTGGAGGAGTTCGCTATTATATCATCACCACTAGTGACATACAGTGACAATAGCCTTCACTCTTGAGGACTCAGTACATGTCAGACATAGCCATCACCCTTCAGCCACCCCCACCCACCAAAGTTGTCAGAAGCAAAATGGACTCACTTATACCAAACCCTAGCAAAATGGAGTCAGGAAGGGGCTTTCATGCACATGTGTCTATGACAAAAACTATTGCATGGACTCCACCACAACCTTACAAAAAAAGACTTCTAGGCTATTGTAACTTTCCACAATAGCCCACGCTATGTTTCCCAGACACAGCATGTAGTTTTATTTTTCCTTTAACCTCTTTTTCTCTTTACATGTCCCAAGCTCACTCTGCAGAGCCAGTTTCTCCCCCACTCTTCACTGTTACTTTCTCCAATAAACTTTGTCACTATTTAGAAAAAAAAAGATTTCTAGAAAGAGATATATTCAGCAACTGCCTATTCAACCTTAGACTGATTCCACCCTTGCTGATGATCCTTGTAGCCAAGGATAATTGTTGGCAAAACAACTTACATTATCTTCCTCATTTTATCTTTAAAAATCCTTGTCTTCCTTTGCCTCCCTGGGTGTGCCTATGATTCGTCATAGCATGTGTATCCTGGATCTTATAATCCCCTGTTTATTCCTGAGTAAATTCATTCCTTTGGTGAGCTGCTCTCTGTGATGTTAAATTGATACATTTGCTCTGCCCTAGTCTTGGAACATTTTATCCAGGTCATAATTTGTTGGACTTAGTGTAAAATGTAAATGCAAGAGCTTCATTCAAAATTATTAAGAATTTCAAGATGGTGTCAGAGAGCACGTAAATAAGCATGAGACCTTTTTGAGCATAGAGCCCAGTGCGACTACATAGATCTCAGGCCTGTAATGCCAGCCCTGTTTACACTACTGAATTATACCTTACTGTTAATGTGACCTTTAATGGAGAGATTCTTCACACTTGGGCCAGGCTATAGTTTGTCCACTTGGAAACCAGTTGTATACCAGTCTAGGGGTTTCTCCCTGTGCACTGTGACTGCTGATGATCAGCTATCCTGTCTGTACGTGTGTGTGCGTGTGTGTGTGTGTGTGTGTGTGTGTGTGTGCATGAGTGAGTGAGATTAATATGAGTTCTGTGTCTGGATGTTTCCAACTGATATCCACCATCCCTGGAGGAACCTCCTTTATTGTAATCAAGTCAGACTCCAGGAAGCAGAGCTAGGTACCCAGCCTGGGATAATTCAGCATAGACTGGGGGTTTTCAGAAGTCTGATCAGTATCCCTGACAGGAAGTCTAAGCTATGGAACCATAACCCTAAACAGAGGAGACTGAGAGGCTCTGGGAAGGTTCCAAAAGTGGAGCAGAGGGCTGGGGACGTAGCAGGTGGGATGGGGTAGAGGAGCAGAAGTGAAAAAACAGCCACAAGGGGTTGGGGCATTTACTTTCTTTCGATTACAGTTATTTTTCATATCACAAAAGTAGTGTGAGGCTGGGGAGGTAGCTCAGTGGTAGAGCATCAGCTTAGCATGGATGAGAATTCTTCTAGTTTCAATCCCCAGCACCACAAAACAAACAAATAAAACAAAACAAAAAAAAGCAAAGTGTACTCATTACAGAGCATCAAGAAATAGGCCAGATGTGGTGGTACACACCTGTAAACCCAGCACCTTGGGAGACAGAGGCAGGAGGACTACAAGTGTGAGCCCAGCCAAGACAACTCAGCAACACTGAAAGACCCTCTCTCAAAATTAAAAAAATAAAAAGGGCTGGGGATGTAGCTCAGTGTGAAAGCTCTAGGTTCAATCTCCAGCAATGTACCTAGGCGCACACACGCGCACACACACACACACACACACACACACACACAATACAAGCAAGCAAAAAAGAAAAGAAAAAAAAATCCCTAAATATCATAGAGGAATGGATAGGTGGATAGGTAAGTGATAAGTGAGGATGTAGTTCTAATAATATAATCATTAATGATAAGATTTGGATGGTTGTATATACAATTTGAAATAGAAGTTTTTCAATTTGATTGTTAATTTGAAATTTATATAATAATAAATTGTAAGAAAAACACACCCAGAACCACCCCACTCAGAGACAGCCATGCTTCACAGGCCCTTGTAGAGTCTCCTTTGAGATCTGCTGTAGGGCTGGGGATTTATTTCAGTGGTTCCACCACCTGCCTCACAAGCTCAACGTCCTGAGTGTGATCTCTGGTACCAGAAAAAAACAAAAAAGAATAAATTTTAAAATCCTCTTTTATGCCGGGCATGGAGGCGCATGCCTGTAATTCCAGCACCTGGGAAGTTGAGGCAGGAGGATCACTATGAGATCCAGGCCAGCCTGGACTACATAGCAGTACTGTTTCAAAGCAAACAAACAAAATATCCTCTTTTATGTTCCTATAGACATGCGAATATTTACATATTTTTGTTCCAACACAGGTGAAGTTGATTGTTCCCATTGACTATTCCAGTTATCTCATTGCATTGTAATTTAGAAAAGTACACATATCACAGTTTCATTGAGTGTATTCTCCTGTAATCAGCACAAGCTCCCCGAAGCCTTCCTTGTGTTTTCTTCCAAGTATGTGTGCCTGGGTAATAATGTCCTGGTTTCTAGAAGTATTGATTCATCATAGCACATATATCCTGGATTTTTAAAATTTATTTATTAACTTGCACTGAAATTTAAACTTAGAAACTTTATGATGAACTAAATCCTCACCCCCACCCCGTCTTTGTTTTTTTGAGACAGGGTTTCAATATGTCATTAAATTGCCCAGGCTGGGTTAAACTTGCTGTTTTCCTGCCTCAACCTCCCAGAGTGCTGGGTTTACAGGAATGTACTATCACACCCAACTTATTTTTGACTTTTTTTTTTTTTTTTTGACAGGGGCTCATTATGTAGTCTAGGCTGGCCTCAAACTTGAAGTGATCCTCTGGCCTCAGCCTCCTGCATTCTGGGATTATAGGTGTGTACCAACATGCTGGCTTATTTTTGCCTTTAAAGAAACATTTTTATTAGCCAGGAATTGTGGTACATGCCTGTAGTCCCCACTACCTGGGAAGCTGAATTGACAAAATTGCTTGAGTGCAGGAGTTTAGGACCAATCTAAGCACCAAACATGGCAAGATTTCCATCTCAAAACAAACCAAAAAACACAAGAAAACAAAGAAATGTATTTCAGTGGTAGAGTGCTTGCTTAGCATGCCTGAGGCCATGGTTTTGATCCCCAAGACTTCCAACAAGATAAGACAAACAAAAAAAAACTGTGTGTGTGTGTGTGTGTGTGTGTGTGTGTGTGTGTGTGTGTGTGGTACTGGAGATTGAACATAGGGCCTTCACACTGAGCTACATTCCAGTCTTTTTTTTTTTTTTTCCAACAGTGTCTCACTAAAGCATTAAGTTGTCCCGACTGGGTTCAAACTCATGATCCTCCTTGCCTTAACCTCCCAAAGTGCCAGGATTACAGGTATGTACCATCAGGCCTAGTTAATACAAAACAAAACCTTTTAAGCAATAGTCTGTTGACTGCTCAAGCACTGAGAATAACAAGGTCCGTCTGCCATCTTGGAAGATCTTTACAGATTAGGTCCCTGGCTGCAATTCGGACTGATTCTCTTTGTGAATTTCCACTCCTTCTGAAGTGAAAGCTCCTACACAGCCTCTGCTAGTCTATGATCCTGTCCCCACTTATCTTAGGAGGAATAGGCCAGTAGCAGTATTTCTAGACTATAGAGAGGAACCACCACTGAACTCTTATTGCCATTGGAGCTACTCTCATATGCACACATCTCATGGGTATAGGAAGTGTCATCTGGACCCCCCGAAGGACATAATAGCCGATCAGTATTCCAGTATTCTACAGAACAGCCATTCCTTTTCTTTTTTTTTTAACTTGTTTTTTGTTTTTTTGAGACAGGATCTCTACATATAGTTCAGGCTGGGTTTAAGCTCACTATGTAGCCCAGGATGGCCTCAGACTTAAGGCAATCCTCCTGCCTCAGTCTCCTGAGTGCTAGGATTACAGACGTGCACCACCACTCTTGGCTGGCTTGGCTGGCTGTTTTGAGGGGTCTAGTGAATAATGTGGGTCAACACATTTTCCAAGCTTCCGAGAGCAATCCCATTACAGTATTAGAATTGTCTATTGGCGCTATCACCAAGGTGGGGAATCCTGCATCCCAGAAGTGTGACCTTACCTCTCCAAAGTCTCCTTTATCCAGTTTTGTAGTTCATTCGTCTTCATGCAGCACCCCAGGACCACTCTGGGCCTGCTTTCCAAGTTCTCGATGATTCCAGTAGCTGCTTTGGTTTCAATCCCCTACCCACTTTTTTTTTTTTCCTTTCCCAGTCTCAGTGATTTCCCTTTCAGACAAAACTGAAGTTGGCCCTAGAGATGGGTCTAATGGTTAGGAGGGGTGGCATGGCCAAGAGCGAGAAAGGAGAACATTGTCCTCCAAGGAGCCTACCTGGATGGAAGGCTGTGTGTAGTTTTTAAGCAAGAGGCCCGTCTGTTCTCCAACACAGGTGAGGTTAATCACATCTATGTGACTTAGTTCCCATGCATCGTTCAGGGTTCAGAGTTTCTGAGGTTCAGTGTTTTCAAGTGCATCTACCTAGATATCTTCAGCAAATCAAAGGATCCCAACCTTTCCCTGTCATAAAATGGGCTTCTGCATAAACTTTGAAGCTGAGAACTAGACTTCTCTGAAGTTCTGCCATTCTACACTTGAGTCCTGCACCTGGTGCAGCTCTGTCTACCTTCCAGTTCCGTGACACGAAGGTTCTCTTACTGCCAAGGGACCATGGGACCCTCATGCATGGTTTCAAGAATCTAATTTTCTGTTTAAAATTGCCAATAATGCTGAGGAATTGATTCAAGGTGTCCGACTTCCCTCATACTCCGGAGTGTCACTGCCATGGTACAAGTTGGCACATCTTCCTTCTGATTTTTGTCCTTTCTCTCCTGGTCTAGTGTCTTGGCACATCCCTGCAGTAGGCTGCAGCGGCTCTCGGGGGCCACTTCCAGTTGAGTACAAGGTTCTCACCATATGACCTGCTAAATGTTTAATTCCAGAATTCTTTCTTTTGGGTCTGCTTTCTGGGTCCCCTTCTACTGCCTGTCTTGGGCAAATGATTTACTGAGGCAGAGTTCTGCTAGGATGAGGAATGAAGGAAGTGGAAGAGAGCAGGAGAAAATTAGGAATAGATTGGTTCTAATTTGGAGTCAAGCTTCAGCCAGACAGTACGGGATGTCTGGGAGAGTGAATTAAACCACATAGATGGTCCCACCATGAGGCAAAGGCTGGCTTATTAACATCAGGCTGTAATTAGTTGTGGCCTGCCTCTGGAGAAGGAAGGACTAATATCCAGGCAAGAAGAATCTCTTGGGGTTGTATATCAATGGTAAATTGCTTACCTTGCATGCATGCAGCCCTGGGTTCAATCCCTAGTAGAGAGGGAGCGAGAGAGACAGGATCCCTCTGTGGAAAAACTCACCAGCCTGCCCATGCTAGTTTAGGTTATGTAATTCTAGTTTAGATTGTAATTCCTTGTTCTTCTCCCAGGTAATATTTACTTCAATTGTAACACACAGTACAGTGTTATGCTCATCTTCTGTTTATTAAAAAAGGAGGACCACCGGGTGTGGTGGTGCATGCCTGTAATCCCAGCAATCCCAGCACTTGGGAGGCTGAGGCAGGAGGATTGCTGTGAGTTCTGAGACCAGCCTGGACTACATAGTGAGTTCCAGGTCAGTCTCAACTACATAGTGAGACCCTGTCTCAAAAAAAAAGGAGGACCCTATAAAAGCCAAGGGAAATTCCACAAATAAGGGGAGCGCTGAGAGCTGTAAGCTATCAGTACACACACCGCCGGGACAATGGTGGAATAATTCTGTACTGGGCGTGAAAGTGGGAGGCAGAAGCCAAAGAGGAGTTTCAACAGGACTGATGAAAGTCTCCTCCTCCCCTCCCTAGAGGAAATAATCCTGCCGGGCTACATGTCATTTGGACTGAGCTGATGCTGAGCTGGCTCCTTTTGCAATCTTTGGCTGTATCTGCCCACAGCAGGTGTGCCAAGTCTCCTCACTCTAACAACATCTTCGCTTAGACCCTCCCTCCCCAAACATGTCTGGAGAACTGATGGTTGCTCCACTGAAGGGCCCCTCTGCATCCTGTGAACATGTAAATGTCTCTCCCAGACTCAGAAACAAAGTGGTGGAGTCTGTGCGCAAACACACACCCACACCCATTGGCATTCCTTTTGGGATCTGAATACATTTAGCTATTTCCCGCCTGTGGAGGGGCTGGGTCATGTGGGATAAAAATAAATGGGCCAGCAGCTTGGTGCAGTGACACACACTCATAATCCCAGCTACTTGGGAGGCCGAGGCAGGAAGAGCATATGTTCTAGGTCAACCTAGGCAATTTAGTGAAACTCTTTTTCAAAATACTGCAAGCTCGAGGACCTGAGTTCGATCCCTGGTACCCCCCAAAATAAAAATAAATAAATAAAAAGGGCTGGGGATGTAGAAGCAATCTATGGGTTCAATTTCTAGTACTGCAAGAAGAGGAGAAGGACAAGGGAGAAAGAAGAGGAAGAGAAGAAAAGGAAGGAAAGAAGAGGACTGTGATTGTGGTTCAGTGGTAGAGTATATGCTTAGCATGTATAAGGGCATGGGTTCAATCCCCAACACCACCACAAAAAGCCAGCTTTCTTTCACCACAAGGATTTAGCTAGACAGAGGCAAATAGGGGATAGGATAGGCAGATGGATCTGCAAGGGGCTCTGGCCAGCCTGGCTCCGGTATGGCACCTGGGCAGTGGGTGCAGCCAGGGGACCAAGGCAGGAGCTTCACAATGACAAAATGAAAAGCCCTTTTGGCTGAGGAAAAGTCTCCAGTGGAGTCAGTGTCTGTCTGTCTGTCTTCTGCCCAGCCCCATTCTGAACTGGGAACTGGACTGAGGGCCTTCACACTGAGGTACATCCCCAGCCTCCTTCCTTTTTGAGACAGGGTCTTGCTAACTTGCTAAATTGCCATGCTGCCCAGGCTAGGCTTGACTTTGTGGTGATCTGCTTGCCTCACCCTCCCAAGTGCTGGAATTACAGGTGTGCGCCAATACAACTGCCCTGTCTCTTTTCAAGAAGGCTCCTTGTGCATGCTTGATGGCTCCTTGCCAAGGTATGAACTTCAAATCTCCCTCCCCTAAACCCTGTTTTCCTTTCAGCCTTCCTCCCAAAAGCCCCTGGGAGCTTTACTTGCTCCATTATAGGAGCCAGGTCTATCCCTCCTGAACATACCAACCATACCAACAGTTTTTTCCACACCTTCAGAGCAGAGACTTTATACCTCTCTCTTTGGACTCTTGGCAGTACTTATCCCCATTTTCCATGGCAAAGATGTTGGTTGCATAGGAATATGAGGACCCACCTCTTGTTCTACCTACACAGATTTAAGGGTCTCACAGGCAGTGGGAAGCTGGGTGGACAGATGGATCCTAAAGTCTCCTCAGCCCCATGTTTCTGTAGTTCTCCAAAAGTGCTCTGGTGACAGGTGCCAGCTATGACTAGGGCTAGAGTTGGTGCAGCAGCTGCTGGCACTACCCCAGCCACCCAACTAGCGTTTGTCACCTGCTAGAACTCATGCACCCCAAGCACAGGTCAGAAGCTGACAGGGGCCAGGCTGGGACTGAGCTGTCTCCTCTCCTCTGAGAAAACAGGAACCAAACCTGCAGCTCCTTCAACTTGCTGAGGGCACAGCGAACAATGGGTCACTCCTATTCTTATGGTTGGACTTCCTGCCATGGCCACTCTCATACCTCTACTACATGGTCTCTATCCTGGTGCTTACACCTGATTTACACTTAACTCAGGCGCCCTCTTAAACTGGCCTCTACACAGGCATAGTCCTGACCATTCTGAATATCAACCAACTGAGCTTTCCCTGGAGAGACTGTGGCTGGCCCACTCCCTGCAGATGAAGGCATAAAACCTCTGACATCTTCAACTGATTGCAAGGAGGATGCGGGGAAAAGAGAGACCCTTTAAGCAGTAGTTCCCAGGCATGAAGATTTCATTTTTTATCCCAGGGTCAATATAAGGCGCAAGGAGTTACCATCAGGAGAGGGTGGGCTGTCAATCAAGAAACAGAAGCCTAAGGAATAGGGGAAGGGAGGATCCTGCAAGGTCCTGAAGCCAGTTCTGCCTTGTTTCCAGAGATGCCACAGACCCTGCATCCATTTGGCTAGCTGAGAATGGGGTGAGGGAGCTTCTGAGAGGCAAAGGCTCATCACCAATGCTGTGCTGTTGACAGTCTCATGCCTGGACACTGAGATGGCAACCAACATACAGCTGTTGTACCAGACCAACTTTGTGGGGCCCCCAGCTTCTTGGCCAGGAGAGCCACATCCAGATGCTGGCCCAGACTAGACACTGCCCTTGGGCTGCTGGTCTTTCTCCATTCCTGGG